AGCAACAACTCTGACGGGCTCGTGCCAAAAAGGTTTTTTTGCTATTTCGCATCGGCCAGTTCCATATCTTGCGAGGCTTATCAAGTTAGATTTAATCGTGTAATGATACTCTGGAATAGAAAAAAAAATAAAAATTTTGAATTGGAAATCCCTATAAACAGTAATCATTAGTTCTTTTCTTGATTTTATAGATACATGTATGATAAACATATGTTTTTCATTTACAATAAATTTAAATAATAACTGCACGTTTAGAATGAAAACGGTTTCCTTTTTTGGTATGTGATAAATAAATATTTAATTTGATAAGTTCATAAACTGAATTTTATTTAAAATTGGGTTGAATAAATAATAAACATACCCGCCAAAGGCTCGCAATGATATATTTTATTCAAATCGTTCAATAAGTTCAGTTTACTAAAGCTTAAAACTTTTTTTCAATATCCTCTATTTATCGTATAAATGTCTTGTCCCTTTGATGATGTAGTGAATTGTTAAATGCTATTTTTGCACTTTGAATGCAATTTATTGAAAGACCAAATTTCCAAGCAAGTGCATTTAATAGGACAACTTCTTTAGGTTACTGAGAAATTTTAGAAGTTATGATGAATCTTCTTTCCGAAATGAGTTGCAAATTTCTTCTGCGAGCTATTTATAATAATAATAACGATAATTTAAAATATTACTTTTATATTGTATGTAATTAATAATTCTCGCGGAAATTATACGAATAAACGCCGGAATGAGAAAAACAAACCTTAATGTCACTTTTTTAAATTGACATATTGAATTATTTACTAGAAGGACAATTATTCAACTTTTGGAAATAAATAAAAAAAACTTGTTCAAAAACGCATATTTATCTTTTAACATTTCAAATAATTTACTTTTTCATTGATAACATTTAAGTTACAACGTGAACGTCTTTTGACGTAATTTGTTAAATGACGTCAAAGTAGTGTTCTAGCTCATGCCGGCGTTCAATTATGTCATGACCTATATAAAATTGACAACCTAGATCAACAAAATATTTTCCGATCACTTTCTAATTCATTTCATCCATTCTTGCCCGTGTAGAGGATAATCTCTCAGGGCTTCCCTGATAACTAATCTGGATGGCGACGCCGGGACCCCGTCCCACCAAACCTTTTCCAGCTTTGAAGTTGGGGAAGCTCCACCGATCTTCAATCCGCTTGGTCAGAACCAGAGTTCTGTTTAGGACTTGTTGTGCCGTGGTAAGCCCAATGCCTCGACGGGCTGCCATTTTTACCGCATCAACAATCTTGTCTTCAATGGCTTTAGGTATATGGGGAGGGCGGCCGTTAGGGACATGGTAATTCGTGTTTTCCGCTAATTCTATCTCCTATGGTTGACTTTGGTACATTGAAATGCTTAGCAGCCCTGTCTAATAGACATACCCTCTTTCACGGCATTAACAGCATCATCTAATGGATGTTTTATTATAAAGTTGGGTTTTTACCCCTCTTCGTATAAACCCACTTTCTTGGCATACTGAAAAAGGGTTTATTATTTTAATTATAATATTCAATATTGTTACACCGGATAAAAACGCAAAGAGAAAACATCGTGTTTGTGCGTGCTTGTTAATTTCTTTAGGGGTTTTGAGGTTACAGTGTACGATATCTGTGTATCTTTTCTTTGTGAAATATCCATGTACGAGGTTGGTATTCATATTTTCATGTTTTAAATCATACTTAGTCCAGATAATATTTTTGTGGAATCAAAAGTTAACAATTTATATTATGAAACGCATTCATTTCTTGAGTATTACATCAATTGACACTTTTAGATGTGCTTTGACCCTATATGAGACTAGCTTTAATTTTTTCTGGGCACGGTTACGACAGGTGCTGGCAGGTGGTTTTTAGACCGTATATAATCATTGTAAAAAAGGGAAGTGTCACGTTTGGTTCACTCTGTCCAAGGGAAAATCTCAATAATTATTTTATTACAAACACTCGTGCCCAATTTTGGCGACTCCGTAAAAATGGGAATTTGCACGGCCGTGCATATTTTTAACGAGACTTCATTAGCGTTTTACAAAACCATTGTGAAGACGCGCTGAATGTAAGCGTTTAACTATGAGACACGTCATTTTTGAATTGAAAAAATGACTCTTTTTTCACCTTGTAAACCCGGTCTTTATATTTGGGTATGAGATAAAAAGAATATTTAAATTAGTGTGAGGTTCATTACTGAATTTAAGTGCACTCGTTGAATAAAATAAATTTATGCTCGCCAGAGGCTTGGCATAACATAATTTTATTCAACTCGTGCAATAAATTCAGTATTGAACTTACACTCATTCAATATCCTCTAGTGTATTTTGCATTAAAACAGAGATTAACTTGCCTATTGAATTTTATAACATGTGTTAAGTCTTTTAATTTAACCAAGTGAACACTTATTAATATTATAAAAGAAAGGATAAATTTGTCTTGTCAATAAGATTTAAGCAGTTAGGGCATTCTTTTACATAATAACTAATGTGGGCAACACTTTTAAGCAACAAAACAATGAACTTATAATATAAAAAGGCATAGATATATTGTTCAGTTTTAATAATTTCACTAATCGTTTTACAAGGTTTCCTCTTTAATGGTTTCCAAACCACAGTAAGATGTGCTCATCTTTAATTAAAAACGGCCAAATTTAATGCGCCAACCAAAACAATACTCATATCATCTGTAAAAAGATTGTTTTTCTTATATCCTGAAGAGATGTTGCCATAATATGCACATATAAAGGGTTAGAGTCTAAGATTTCAATCATTCTTTTAAAAAGAATACATATCAGAGGGTGTGAATACACAGTTTCTTTTAAAAAACAGGTCTTCCAAATCGCTAAGCAGTCGATGTTTTTTGCTCCACATTTTGCAACCAACATCCATTTGATTCACGGAGACTTATTATGGACAGAATGTTCACCCTCCGTGCCATTTTTACCGGTTTTTCTACAATGTGAAATAAATTTTATAAAAATGGATTAGGGAAAAAATCATTAACATCTACAAATAAATAGGTTTTAGCTTTCTTATGCATGTCTTTTATATTCTGTTGCAAATCAATAATGCATCATTAATTGAATTGAAAAAACAACAACAATAAAATTATTGATCTAATTTGTGTTTCACACGTGACATGGTTAAATCACATGTCCGTAGTTTTCAGGCATGCAAAAAGAGACGGGAAAGTCGGACACTTTTTATTTTTTATATTTTGAGGGTTAAATCACTTTCATTATCGTAATTCTGACTTTATTTTAAAATTAGAACGATATTTTTCAAAGTAAATACATTTATACAAAAGCTCCAATGCATGTATACCTTGGAATTTAATGATGCAACTGCAGGTTTAAAATTCGCGCTTAAAGCAACTTTGTGTGACGTAAGCAAAGGAAGTGGTGGTCTCTTCAAACGCATGCGTTGTTTTGTCTCCATGTGATTGGTCATTAGTAAACGTGTGCGTAATCAAAACACCAAATGTAAACTTGAAAAAACACGGAAGTTATTCGCGCGTGATACGATGACGTGTGGAAAAAACACCTGTCTTTTTAAAGACATGTCCGTACTTTACTGACTGTCCGTACTTCACCGGACAGACCCTACCATAAGATTTTCAAGTCTATCAACCAAGTATGTTAAGGTACTTCGACTTCGTACCTACCAATATCATCATGTTCACTTCAAATATACTTAAAGTGATTTTTCAAATTATTGGGTGGATGGTTTAACGAAGGTCTTAAAGCTGCACGTCCCCAGATAAGCCAAAATATTTAATAAAAATTAAACTTGAGACAAATGCACTAAGGTTTTTTTTTAAAAAAAAGCAAAAAGATAATTATTTACTTGTTTTGTGGGAATAATGACTGATTTTGCATTACTTATCACCGTGTTTCTTCTACTGCGTGACTAATGTAATGAGGGCTATTTTTTCATATTTTGACCTCTGTGGTAATTTACATGAATTGTACATGTAATTAAGTGCTGTTTGCAATATGTTAGTTACTTTCTTTCTTCACTTCACAATTGAATATTTATAATAAAAAAATAGCTTGAATCTGGAGGCATGCCGGTTTAACGACAATATATCCTCACTTTGTAGACAGTTGACCCAGGGAACATATATCTAAAATAATTGTACCAGATAAAATTGATTTTTTTTTGTTAAGCATTTTCTTCTTCTCAATACGTGTTCATTGGCGAAAGGCATTTTGAACACACAAACAAATTATAAATAGAATACTGTCTTGTTTGTTTATTTTTAAAGCGATTTGCCATGAACCTTATAATTATTAAATTAATTTGAAAAGGAAGAAGTATATCATGGTATATTATTGTTGAAAATATTAACTCCTTGTGCTTTTGTTGTTGTTTAATTTCCTTTTAAAATTTGTTGAAAATGCACTTAAATGATCGATGCCAATTCTGTCTTGATATGTGTGGTGAATGTGGTGTTAAAGCTCTTGAAAGAAGTTTAATGTATAAAAACATAAATAACACAAGTCTTGGAAGAAATATCTTGGAATATATTTGATAAATAATAATAATAATATAGAACAGAAAAAGAAGACTTTTGAAATGGACCTAGGGCGAGAAACATCAGACATCTCCGACCTTTCGGCTGTAGGATTCCGTCATCATTTAGCCCTTGATCCATGCTTGACCTTAAAGAAGCTCCAATGAGGTTCAAAAGCATACAAACATAAAATTTGAAAATCTTGCATAGATCAACTCGGGCATTTAATATAGAGAGAACATAAAGAAATGTACTCAGGATTACATTAAAAAAAAAAACACGATAATATCCTATTTGAGTCTAGCTTTAACATGTGCCTTAATTTTATAATTATACAACGCTTTTCACTTTTAGGTCATTTTGCATAGTCAAATATCGAGAATAAAAGATTGGTAAAGATTTTCATCAATTTGAATAAAAATCTCGAAAAATATTCCTAGTCCGGTCATGTAAAAAAACAACCTCATTGGAGTCCCTTTTATGGTCATTTTAAAAGTTTACTATGCTGCTACAGTACATATTATAAATATATAAATCTATTAAATACTATGGTGTTGTCGATTTTCTATATGCATGTTTTAAAGTATGTCTTAATCTATCATTGTAATTATTAAACAATATTTGCTTTTTCTACTCGAAATATTCGTGATTTGATAACATTATTATGATGTTACACAAAACAGCTAATAAAGTAAATCTTTGTTTGGTCATCCACAACTGCAAATACATCCGTGGTGGCAAAAAGAGTTTTGTACATTGGTTCCATCTATTTTTTTATTATGAAAATGGTCTTTTGTATTAGTATCACCTGATTCTTTTGCATTAGTTCCTTCAATAACTTTATCACCTGATTCTTTTGCATTAGTTCCTTCAATAACTTTATCACCTGATTCTTTTGCATTAGATCCTTCAATAACTTTATCACCTGATTCTTTTGCATTAGTTCCTTCAATATCTTTATCACCTGATTCTTTTGCATTAGTTCCTTCAATAACTTTATCACCTGATTCTTTTGCATTAGTTCCTTCAATAACTTTATCACCTGATTCTTTTGCATTAGTTCCTTCAATATCTTTATCACCTGATTCTTTTGCATTAGTTCCTTCAATATCTTTATCACCTGATTCTTTTGCATTAGATCCTTCAATATCTTTATCACCTGATTCTTTTGCATTAGTTCCTACAACAACTTTATCACCTGATTGTTTTGCATTAGTTCCTTCAATAACATTATACCCGTCGTCACGACCAAAACAGAGAGCAGTAATAATCATGATAGATACAAACATAAGTCCAACACAAATTAGAATATCTACTGTGCTTCCAATTAAATAATGTTTGTTTTCTATTTCACAGCATGTCACTTCCCCTTCGAATTCATTGTTACAGCAACCGTGCATATATATCGAGTTGTTCGTCACATGATATTCATACCCGACTGGCATGACTGAATATGAAATGTATAAGAAAACGATGTATATAAAGTGACTTGATCCATCTTGGAAAGTCCTTAAAGCAGCTCGCCTCCAGATTCATGCTAACTTTCATGAAATTTTTGATAATGTATTTGAATGTGTTATATTGTGAAGTAACCAAAAGGAAAAAATTTACACATTATCAATGGTTAAAGAACATAGATCCTAATTCCTCATTAATTCATCAAAATTAAGTTGTATGTTTGTTTGACATTCTATTTGGTGTTTTTGTTTCCAGAGCAAGGAATGATTGAAATATCAGCGTTACAATCTATAAGCGCGTCCATACATACGAAAATCGTAAACCGTTCTTATTTTCGATAAGTGATAAATGGAATATTTATTTTCGTGTATATTCAATACTTAAGACTTTATCTGTATGATTCTTTTCAACTCTTTCATTAAATTTAATATTGAATATACACTCATTCAATATCTATGTATTTCTGAGCCTTATCATCAAATTTAACAGCTTGGGTAAATGTATCCAATTAGAACTTATTGTGTCTGTATTGTTTTATCCAATTTTATAAATAAAAATTACTTTGCAAGGTGTATTTCCGGAAAGTTCAGTAAGTTAAACTCATCATCATCATCATCATCATCATCATCATCTCAAGTAATTGCATCACTACACAAGGAGTATACTCGCAATTGGCATTTTTTTTCATAAACTAGGCATACAGTACAATATGTTTGATTGTTTCACAGTAAAATTCAAATATTTCCGAGTATCTTTTGAATATGCAAAACGTATAAGTTATGTTTAAAGTGTAGTATCGACCTATTTTACGCATATATAATCTAAACTATTAATTTCGGTACCGACCATACCGTAAATATGTTCATACCGTAGATACGGCGTTTATCAAAACATCATAATTAGTTTAATCCATGGTGTAAGCGGCCGGTATTATAAACATGTAAATAAACAAATGTCATTGTCGAAATTTCCAACAGTGTGATTTATTTTGGATAATTGTGTATTGGTAAGTTGTAAATAAAGTGATAATATATTCGGCTGATATGATGTAGTCAGTGCATAATTTTCTTCCATAACTTCCAGTAAAATTACTCTCTAACTGAATGAAAGTGCCCCTCCCATTTTCTTTTACTTCAGAAAAATTATATTTGATTTTATTCTAAATACGATTTATATGATATTATGAAAAACAGCAAGATTTTTTACTGAAATTTGTTTCTTTTCGATTGAAGGATTGGGGGGCGGGTACCGTGGGGGTGGCTTGCAACTAATTTTTGAAGTTGATAAATAATTACTGCCAAATTGGCAAGAGACTTCAGCAAACAGGTTTTAAAGTAAAGATGTCAGACTGAGAAACATATTCTTGACTAACCAATACGAGAAGAGTAAAGCTTTGTAATGCTTTCCGAGCGGGGACTGATTTTTTACACTGTGTCTGAGCTCAATAAACACACTGCAGAAATTATCTGGTTAAGCAATGACTACATGTCCAAATATTTAGAAGTAATCTCTTTTGAAGCTACTTTTTTACATTGGTCAAATTCTAATTTTCCAATAAATGTTAAACTGAAAAAAGGAAGCTCGAAGTCATTCAATGAAAGACTAATAGCAATGACAAGATACAAAATCTACAAGTTTTTGATATCAATATTGTAAAATTTTAATTATGCGCCCATTCTCAATAAAATAAAGCATTTGAGGTTGAAAAATATTAAGAATTTGATGTTGTCATTGTGTCATTTTATATCCCTGAAGTAAAAGTTTAGGGTATTTTGCAAGTTTGCCAGAAATATTTTGAACAAGAGACTATGATATAACAGGATGGCATTTATTTTGGTAATGACACTGTATTTCTTCGGTAACGTAAATTTCAGATCTAATAGTGTAACATATTGGCTGCATATTAACATCAAAAGTCTTTAAAATATATCAAAATCTGTAAATTCTTTATCTAGAGGGACTTTCTAACCCAGGAAAATTCAAGGAAGTTGTGTACCTTGCTAATTTTTAGTTAATTTCTTCAAAGTTAAATATTCATAGAAAGCAAAAATAGTCAATTTTGGAAATGATTATTTTATGTCTTCATTCAAAGGATATATATCAAATATAATATATGAGAGGTCGAATGCATACACAAATGTTGTATTAGCAATTTTTTTCAAAACATTCAACTTTTCACTTTCTTAATATTTGGAAAATTTATTGCTAAGCAGTTCTATATTTATCCCCATATAGGATGTCACGTATGTTTCATTTTATTCAAATGCAAGTAAAGGTTGAGAAAACAATTTTATTTTTGGTAAAATAATGTATATTTATGGATATTGTTTTAACATTATTATATATAGAATGAAATACGGCCAGTAAGCTCTTTGCAGAAACGAATTAGTTGTTGCTGAGAACATCAATATCTTGTAAAATAGTTTTAACATTTCTGCTGGTACATCAACATATTATTAACATATCTTTCCTTTGTAAAAACAATTTTGTATCTTCTTACATCTAATACAAGGTAACCATTACTAACAGCCAACTTTATCTTTAATTTTCAAAAATTGTTGAATTGTAAGTTGGAGTAACGTATGTTTCACACTCGCTTATTTATGAACTTAATCACGAAATTGAAACTTACATGTAAAATCGACTTTTTTATTTAGGAATCAAATGTACATCATTCTATTGTCATAAAAATGCGATTTTATGTTTTTATATATGCATGTGTAAACAATATAAAGTCTGTTTGATAAAAGTAACGTTTGTTTCACTGTGGTTACTTAAACAAGTTAAAACTCGACCAAAGTTATCAAAATTTACTTACTAATGTCAAATAGAAGTTAATGTTGCTGTTATACGTGCTTTTTGACTTCAATTTCCCTTTTGATAAACTTACTTTAAAAAGTTGATAACGTATGTTTCTGTAACGTATGATTCATTTTTACATTGAAAGTGGGTTAAAAATGACGCAAGACCGTTTAACCCGCTATAATTTGTGGTTAATATAGAGTTATACACATGTTAATTTTCTTTCTTGTTTGGATTTTTCTTTGAATGAATTGGCTCTTAAATAATGGTAACGTATGTTTCTTTTTAAAATGCTGTTGAAAAGATTTGAATAAAAAATGAAAATTTCAGAAAATATAATGATATTTGAAAGGCTGCAAGCTTATTTTTACTTATAATTATATATATGCTGTATTATTAAGCATGCATCGATTCAATTATGTAATTTCGGTTCCACTTATTATTGTTTTAGGTTTGTCACTATTTATTTATATGCAATTGGCGACATTTGATCATCCATTATATTAATGAGATTTTAACAGTCAAATATAATTTTTACCAATAATCAAAGTTCATATACACAAAGCAATGACTAATTGCACATGTTTCGTTTATTCTGGAACTTATTTTCCTGAAATACAATTTCAAAGTTGAAAATTCTAGGTGGCGACAGGAACGTATGTTACATTTTAGGGCATTAATGGTACTTGTAAAAGAAAAATAACAGACATAAATGTAAAACTGAGAGTGTCCCTATTAGACAAAGTGGCAGCCACCTTTCTAACGACATTTTGACCTCAAGAAAAACCTTCGTATAAGAGCTACCCAGTGGAACATCAAATGCTGTGTTTTATTGAGAATGAGCGTATGGTATCATAATAATTTAATAGAATTGATGAACATTGGTTCTTTTTCCAGGTAAAAAATAATTCAATAATATGTTGACTGACACAGGAAAATCATGATAGGAAGTCCCATACACACATGTATGTAGATTAAAATGTTTGAATTGTATTTAAAAGATTCTGTTGATACAGTGTATGTGTTAATGTTTATGAGTCTACAATCTTAACTTTATTGAGATTTAATGATAAATGCAAATTAATTTTAATTCAAATGGAAATTGAATCAAACCAAATTACTGAGAATTAAGAAAGGCATTTTGCAAGATGGGGTCATGGTCTGACTCTTGAGTGTCTGGGACATGACAGTTGAAGTTCCCTTAAAGCTTGTAGGAATTCAATTATTTTTTGTTAACTCCAAAGTTAAATTGCTTATGCAGCATGACCAGTAGTCCTATAAATATGATGCTGGTCTTTAATGAATTAGGCTGAAATAGCATGTATTAGTTTTGCCATAAATTTATATTTTATTTACAATCAATTGATTAAATAAAGCTTAAAAAGGCAAGATATTAGACATTTTTTTGTAATTTGTATTTTCCTATGGTTTATTAGATATACTATAAGTCATTGTCATGAGCTTGTCCAACATAAACTACACTGTACATTTGTAACAAGCCCATATAGGTCTAATATTTCGAAATATCATTCTGACCTGAATCTCTATACTGTACATTGTATGTTGCTCAATTTTAATGCCTCTCAAAAATTTTGAATTGTCATTCAATTTGTCTGTCTGTATTTCCATCTGTCAGCATTTTGTCCAGTTAATAACTATTATTCATGGATGGATTTTTAGATAATTTTGTATATTATTTCAAGCACATTGTCACAATGTGTTTTAATACTTGCAAATCACAGGATTTTGTAGGTCAAAGTTTAAGGCCAAATTAGACACTTTGAAAGGAATTTTTCATAAAATTCAAAAGTGCATTGATAATCATGTCCTGTCAACAATTTTGTAGTTCCTAAATTAATTTTAAAAATGACTCTTCATGTACGGTGTAAATGTGTTGCACACAACCATTTTCTAACTCAAACGTCGCATTGATGGTTGTGTATGGTCAATAATTCAGTCATCCCCTGATGGATTTTAAAATAAGTATTGCATAAATTTGTTGGACATGACAACATGTTGCATGCAAAAATCTGGTCACTATTTCAAGGGGTCAAGGTTAGTTACACTTGAATGTTAAAAGTCAAGACTTGATAGTGTATTTACGTTTGTGTCCTGTATTTAATTCTGGGTTGATTTAGAAATAATTATCTTGGCATAATTTGTGGTACATTTAATACACTTACCATGTGCAAATGCCTGGTTGACCGTAGGCACTACATGTGTATGTAATAAAATGTCTAAATATTACAAAAATTCTCCCATAACATTTATGAAAGCAGGTGCCCAGTCTAAAGGACATGTTTTAATCTACCGGTATGAGATTGTTACTTAAAAACTTATACTCAATATAAAAAATTGTCATCTAATATTGATGTATCTTTAGTATGCTCTGGACTGATTCAATGACAGCTCTACAAAATTCAACAGAGTATGGGTAACTTTCTGTTACTATATAGCTAGAACCATTCTAGAATAAAGTACAGATTTGAGGTCAAATCAAGTACATTCCTAAATTTTTATTTTAATGAGTTCAGTAGCATAGAATTGTTTTTTACATTTCTTCCAGTATTGATTAAATGTTAATTGCTCTGACAGTCAAAACTGGAAGCCAAGTAAACATATATTTATTAAATTTTATATAAAAAAGTTTTGATTTATAAGAAAACATAAATTATACATGTACTCATATTTATAAGAGGTAATTATGGTATAACTTGAATGATGATATAAAATATATGAATTATAAATCGTAAAAGTACATGTACAATGTAAGTATTAAAGGAAGGGTTAAAGTACATGTTTCAACTATTTTTAATGTGGTGAGATAATTTGCTTGTTTATAGTAACCATGTTCATGCATCATCACCATGATCAATTTATTAATATTATTAAACTATATTACATTAGGAGGTAATTTTTACATGTTTGAGCAGACATTGACAATGAACGTGAATCTGTGTTTCTTATTATTGACTTGTTAAATGATTTGTAAATATTTCATTAATTTGCTTGACATTGGGACAAATTGTTTTATAAAATGAAGGGACTGAAAGATTATTTTTGTGCCAATTTGAGTATGAAAAAAGTACAAATCTTTTTCCACCTATAAATCTGGCATCAGCCAATAAATTGTGGAAACTTCAAAACATTCAATAGATAATATGAGTGCAGACAATCAAACTCACCAGGTACAAAATTTAAAGT